TTTTTTTTTTTTTTTGGAGAGGTTTTCGCTATAGGGCTCATGGGCTCGCCAGAAAGACAGAGAGAGACATAGAGACAGAAAGCGAGAAATCACCCCCGAGGGGGGATGGCCACGCCACAATCCCTTCTCCTCCATTCTCCTCTCAGGATCTTGGGCATGCACGTACATGCGCCCGGGGTGAGTTTTAAGCCACCGGGTCCAGGACGTGAACCGCGGTTGACTACGTGGGAGTCCAGCGACATAGCCATTACGCTAACTGCTGGTTCCCTATAACGTATTCTCTTACTGGGGGAAAAAAAAAATCCTTCAGTATAACTTGATTTCACTTTTAAAATATTTATTTATGTTTATATGTAGAAGGATACATACAAAAATGCAAATTATTGTCTTTATACATCATGAGAGTAAGTATAATTTAGAGGCCAGCAGGTGGTTAAGGGCGCTGGACTCCCACATGGTTGACAGTGGTTCAAGTCCCAGACCTGGTGGCTTGCTTTCTTGCTTTCCCTCTCTCTCTCTCTCTCTGTGTCTCTCTGTGGTCAAATTAAAATAAATTAAAGAACAAATAAAATATAATAAATAATTCATTTAAAAAGAGTAAGTATAAATTATTGGGTATCTCTGGTTAATTTTTTTCTAATATTATTGCTTATATAATAAAGACATTGTATATATATATTTTTTTTTAATTCCCAGAGGACACATGCGCTCACCCAAAAGAGACAGAGAGGAAAAACAGAAAATGTTGCTTACTCCCCCCCGCCCCCAGGGTATGGTCATGCTGCAATCCCTTCTCCTCCATCTCTCCCTCCTTTCAGCATCTTGGACACATACACACATGCACCTGGTATATTTTCAAGCCACTAGGTCTGGGACTTGAACCACATAGTAAGCCACTTTGGATCCAGCTGCCTTAACCACCAGGCCAAGGCCAATTCACATACATTTTTTAAATAGGAAGAAAGTAATCACCCCACCTGCTCTCCATACCCCCAGGAGGTGTTTAGAAGCATGAACAATCCCCACCATCTACGTCCGCAGTTTCTTGCACTCTACGTGCGTTTGTTTTTGTCTATTGTCCAGTATCTGACATCACAAATGCCACTCAAATTACCTTTTATCTACTCCCAAACCTTTTTTTTTGTTATCATATATTTTTTAATTTTTTATACATTCATCACATTATTTAGCTTACAAAGTGAACATTTCAATATGTGAACATTTCTCCCCAGTCCAGTTGATCAAAATGTCTTCAACATCCTCATCCTGTCAATGCTCTGCCTCCATATCCCTCCTAATTGACTGTGTTTTAGACATTAAATATGCACTAGATTTTCTGACCTCAAAAAATATTTCTCTGAAGATTTAAAGGACTTTATTTGTAAGATTGTTTTTTCTTTTTTTATTTCACTTTCTCTTTTGCATTCCATCAAATTATTTAGCTTACAAACTGAATATTTCAACATGTGAACATTTCTCCTCAGTCCAGCTGACAAAACAATGAAAGTATCTTCCACAGATAATACCAAATTTCCTTGTCCTATTAATGCTTTGCCTCTCTATTTTTCTTCTAACTGTCCTTCCTCGGACTCTACTCTTTCACACCCACTATATCTGGTATTCACATCTATTTGCTGTGTTTCTATATACTTTGTAAGATGTTCTAGTCTTTCATTTGTAGTGGTCTTTTGTTCCATTCAAGTTCCACACTAACAAATACACTTTCATCATTCTCCACCCAAACTCTTCCCCTCAAATTAATCAAAAAATAGATCCTACTAATTCATCAATAACTCCTGGACCTGGGCTGACGGTTCTACCCAATCTCTTAGTTCCTGTCTCAGTCTCAAACAACTCAGGAGCAAAACATTCCAGCATCCTTAGCTTAGGACTACAGTTATCGCTTACACCCCAGTTTTCTTATAGTCAGAGAAGTTGAGGCCAAAAACAGCAATTGTAAATCTTTTCTTCACTACTATTCAACTATACAAACCATTAATGCTTATCGACAGGCAAATAAATCTTCTGAGCCTCTGGATTTCACAGACAAAACCAGTCAGAGAACCAACTATTAGCAGCGCTGTTCCTGCCACCCACCTCCCATGTTCTGTTTATAAACCCTCTCTTCATTCCTCATATCAGCATTAATCCAACCACCAGAAAATGCCTTTACCTGCAGGAGAGGCTGAGTTGGTGCCTGAGCATGTGGATTCATTTTTGAACTTTACTTCAGCATAAGTGATTTCTGAAGCCATATTGAGAAGAGATCTGCCTTTTCAAGAAATTAATTTCATCCCTTCCTTAAAACATCTCGTAAATGAGAACCAAGCATGGTAGCAAATTGTCCACTTCCTGTCATTTAATTAGATCAGAGCAGAAGCACTCAACAGGCAAATTCCCCTAGAAAATGTCTCATAAGACTTAAAACCATACTGAGTAATTACTCAGTCCAGAGACAGAGGTACCATCCCCAGCCCAGCACAGTGAGGAGCACAGCCTTTAAACAGACCGTATATGCAAAAACAATGAAAGTGGGAACTGAAAGGGTGGGGAAAAGAATTAGGAAGGAAAGGAAAAGAGGAAACAAGCAATTAAAGAAGTCTTTCCTAAGATCTGTGTTCTCTGAATTCATCAGAAAAAATAAAATGTATGTGCTTCTGCATGCAAACGTAATTACTTATCCACCAAGGGCTTCCTCTAGTGCAAGGGGGGAAGCAAAGTCACATGCCTCCCGAAGTTGCTCCTCAGCGTGCTCTGCTTTTCTCTATTGCTGTTAACTAGCTCCATCGTGAACCCGTTCATTTTGCTGCTCATCACCTCCAGATCTCCTGAAAGCACCTCTCTTTATAGCATGTAGGAGAGGAGGCTGTCTTTTATTTCCCACTCCTCTTCAGCAAAAAGATATACAGGTACAGGGAACCAGCAGTTAGCGTAATGGCTATGTCGCTGGACTCCCATGTAGTCTACCGCAGTTCACGTCCCAGACCCGGTGGCTTAAAACTCACGCCGGGCGCGTGTGTGTGCGTGCCCAAGATCCCGAGAGGAGAATAGAGGAGAAGGGATTGCGGCGTGACCATCCCCCCTGGGGGGTGATTTCTCGCTTTCTGTCTCTCTGTCTCTGTCTGTCTGGTGAGCGCACACGCCCTATAGCGAAAAAACCTCTTCAAAAAAAAAAAAGATATACAGGTACACATATTTGGCTGTTTCTTTAACAGGGCAATTATATGGAGTCATAGTGTAGAGGGAGGTAAACTGAGTGTTATATGACTTTTTCCAAAGGCCAAGAGGACAACACTCCAAAACATAATTGTTTGTGTGGAGTTTTTTCACAGACAGCTTCTGTCTCTGCAGCTTCTCTGCCTTTAGCTGTCCCCAAATGGTCCTGATCTTTTATTCTCCCCCATTTAACTCCTGCTTCTCCTATATGATAGATACATACATGTGCATGCGTGCGTGCACACACACACACACACACACACAATTTACCTCTGTATTTATTCATATATTATTTCCATATTTATTTCTGTATTCCAAATATATTAACAAACATATGTTCAGACAAATACCTCTAGTCCCAATCTTACACCTCCGGTTTTATTGTTTTTCTCCCCTTCCACAATTCTAGCTACCTCTCGTAACAGTAAAAAGCCAGCATTCGTTATCTTTAATGTAGTTGCTTCGTCTCCTAGAAGTTATCCAGCTTTGCTGCCACTCCTCTCCCATGAAGATGCCCTTCTCCCCAGCTGGGCTCTGACTCCCTAGTTCAGGCCCCATCCCTGTGGACATGTTCTTCCCACTCTCTCTGGCTGTTCTTGCACAGGGCCTACCTCTACCTGCATGGGACACTCTCCTCCTCCCTGGCTGAGGTTCTAGCTTCCTGGCTATGCTGCCTCCCACAAGAAAATCCTCCTTACACTGTTGTGCTGATCCCCGATGCTGGTCCCCTGGCCACCACTTAACTGCCTCATGCTCTAACATTCCACTCAAGGTGACCCTCATGGTGGAAGCCCTTCTCTGAATCCCCATGCTAAGCTATGCCACCAGGCGGGCAGTCTGTTCATCCTGCTCAGTCTCTGAAACTGTCACTAGGTCTAGCCTTTGCATACTTTCCTCATCCTGCTTGGGCTCCGACACCCCATACCAGGCCCTCCATCCCCAGCAAGGATGCCCTTCTCACCTTTCTTAGGTTCTGGGTTTCCACACTGGGCTACCCTAGCACAGAGATACCCTCCTTACACTGCCAGGCCTCTGAAACCCATACCTTATGTACCTTTTGCAAAGATGTTGTCCTTACTGGCTTAGGTTCTGAATCTCAACCCACATGTTCAGCCTTACTCTTCTTAACAATGTGAGTCAATAATTATCCATTATTTTTATGACTCAACTTGGGCTCCTGCCCATTAAAAGCAAGTAGTCTTGCTAGTAAAGTTATCAACGATGAAAAAAAATTGCAGACAAGCCCATGTTTACTGCAGAATTATTCACCAGAGGTAAGTAATGGAATTGACTTAAGCTCACAACAACTAATGAGGTGGAATCAACCTAAGTTCACAACAACCAACTGGTGGCATGGTGGTTAAAGTGGCTGTATCGCACGTGGCTGACTGAGTGGTTAGAGTCCAGTGGCTTGAAAAACACACCAGGCATGTGTGTGCATTCCCAATATCCCAAGAGGAGTAATTATCAGAAACTATATGTGAGTGTCAGTGGGGGTGGATCAGGAGAAAATTATTAACACAGAAGAATGCATGTAAGCAAGTGAAATAGGTTGTGGAATGGTGTACCACAACAAAGTAAAAAATTGACAATTTGGGACCAGTAGATGGCATGATGGTATAGAGTGCTGGACTCTCACATGGCCAACTGTGGTTTGAGTCTCACACCTGGCAGCTTGCTTTCTCTCTCTCTCTCTCTCTCTCTCTCTCTCTCTCTCTGCCTCCTCACCACCCCCGTCTTCTCACTCTGTCCCTCTCTGGTCAAATTAAAATGAGTAAATAAATAAAGCTAAATAAAATAATTCTTTTTAAAAAAATTGACAATTCAATATATACTTTCAACAAAAACTGCTAGAACTATTGCCTAATGTACACAACAAAATGTAATATTCAATGTGGAAACAATTAAAATGTCTGTATATTACCAAGTATTTGAATGCTTTATAAAACCATACTCCATCTTACTAAGATGTACAATAACAATATTTAGACCAGAAGTCACAATAAAAAATAAACAGAGCAGAAATGAAAAGAATTGGAGACTTCACCCTCCTGACCCCAGTATCTAGCCAGGAAAGCCAATCACAAGCCATCTACATGTGAGCACTGAACAGCCCCTTTCAGGGACTAGGACAACTGAAGATTTTCTGCCCAGACTTCATCATCCTGACCCCAAGATCTAGCCAGGTAGAACAGCTTATTCTCTCCCTCTCTCTCTTTAATGATTTTTTTTTAATTTTTTAAACTTCTTATCACTGACTCTTTTATCTTGCTAATCCCCACCTTTCCCCCCCCCCTTCCACATAAGACAAGCCAATCACAAGTCATCTACATTTGAGCTCTGAGTGGCCCCTTTCACATCTCACAGAAGTCAGCTCTGTGGTTCTCATTTTTCTACTTTAAATTTTTTTCATTTTTCTTTCCTTTTTTTATTGTTTTTGTCTTTTTTTTTCTTCTTTTTCTTTGTTTTCTTTTCATTTTCATTTTCCTTTTATCTCTCTCACTTTTCTGCTCAGCCTTTACACATGGAGTTTTTAGAAACATCTAGGTGCACAGTAGGAAAATATCTGAATACATTAAGGGTCAGTTCCCATGAAATCTGCTGTACAAAGGTAGAAAAACAGTACTTCAGAGAGATTGTCAATCACTGCATGCCTCTGAATGCTCAGATTTAACTCCAAAAATTAGGGGGAACTCTATAGTCTATCACATGACCAGAAATCAGCCCATAGGCGTAACAAATATGAGAATCCAAAAAAAACTCACTGCAAAGGGTGATATTTTTCTCACCTCCTCCTCCACAAACAATACAATGGAACTCATGGAAATGTCAGTAAAAGAATTTAGAATATTCGTAGTGACAAAGCTAACAGAGATGCAAGAGAAGAGAGACAATAAACTCCAGAAGATGCAAGAGAAAAGAGACAACAAGTTCCAGGAGGTGAGGGAGTTCTTGCATGATCCGAAAGAGAAAACACACACCGTAAAAAAGAATCAAACAGAACTGTTAGAGATGAAGGCTGTAATACAGGAAATCAAAATCTCCCTTGAAGTATCAAAAGCAGATAAGATCGTGCAGAAGATCAAATCTCAGATGTAGAACCTCTCACCTAGAAAAAGTCACCAAAAAGACTGAGAATATAACTCCCCCAAAGTGAGAATAATATATGAGTAATACTAGATACCACTAAATTCCCAAACATCTGGATAATTGGTATATCAGAAGGCGAAGAAATTAATGTCATTGATAATCTATTCCATAAAATCCTGGAAGAAAAGTTTCCAAACCTAGAGAGGCACTCAAATATCCAGACACAAGAAATACAAAGGACCCCACATAGAATCAACCCAAGAAGATCTCCAAGGCACATTGTAGCCAGATTGACCAAAACCACAGACAGAGACAACATAGTAAAATTAGCAAGAGAGAAACGTCAAGTTACTTTCAAAGGATAGCCCATTAGAATATCATCAGACCTCTCATCAGAAACAATGCACCCAAGGAAAGAATGGGAAAATATATTCAAAGTGTTAAGTGAAAAGTAATTTCAACCAAGAATACTATACCCAGCAAGATTATCCTTCATATGGGAAGAAAAATAAAAAAACATTCTCAGATAAACAAAACCTGAAAGAATTTACCAACACCAGACCAGTTTTCCAAGAAGTTCTGAAGTGGGTGCTATACCAGGAAAACTAAAAAGTCACACACACACAGAAATGAATAAGAGTACAAAAAACAACCAAGAGAATAGCCAACTTAACAATAGAGACAAGTCCGAAAATATCAATAATGTTGAATGTGAACTTCCAGAACTTTTTTTACTTTTACTTTCATCTTTATTTATTTATATTTATTTACATTCATTCCCTGTACATCAACACAATATACAAAATGAGATTTTCCATCCAGAATACACTGTATATTGACTTAGCCAAGGATATTTTTTTTTTTTTTTTGGAGAGGTTTTTGCTATAGGGTGTGTGCTTGCTTGCTAAAAAGACAGAGAGTGACAGAGAGACAAAAAGCGAGAAATCACCCCTCAGGGGGGATGGCCACGCCACAATCCCTTCTCCTCTGTTCTCCTCTCAGGATTATGGGCACGCACGTGCCCAGCATGAGTTTAAGCCACCAGATCCGGGACTTGAACTGCGGTCCACTACATGGGAGTCCAGCGACATAGCCATTATGCTAACTGCTGGCCCTTAGCCAAGGATATTACCATACATGTTATCATCAAATAATTTTTCATTTCTTGTTTTTCATATATTTTGCTTTTCTTTCCCCCTTGATTCCCTACCTCCCCCCTCTGTCATTGTCCACCCTCCTCTCATTCCATCTCTGGTATCTACAGTGATTTTCCACACCTTCTCCCCCCCAACACTTTA